ACACACACACACACACACACACACACACACACACACACACTCCTGTGGAGCTCTGGAGCTCTGGTCCTATTATTCTTCAACATTCCTCTGGACATCTGGGTTGTTGTTGTTGTTGTGCTTCCTATTACAGCATGTTCTGTACTAAAATAACAGAAGGTGCACTTTGGTCTATTATAATGTGGGATCATGGTTAATTTTATAAAAGAGTTCAAGTCTATAAAAAAAGGTTAAAAAAACCTGAAGATGCTGGGTTTTGTACTGAGAAAACAAGATATTTAAAGACATCTACTCAGGTTTGAGCAACTGGGAAAAACATTGTTCATTATGTTGTGAAATGTTATAGACCATACAATTAACACTAACTGTATTACACCCTATACCATTCGTCAGATGTCAGAATGGACTAATGGAAAGGTCAGAGACTGACAACCTGCATTATACAGATCAACAAAAAGCAGTGTAGTTCTTCTATCAAAACATTTGCAATATATGCAAATGTTCGCTTCTTTCAGTCATTCCTAGAAGTCCATCTGTCCACAACCCAAATATATTAATTGGACTCCAGTGTACTATAAGGAGAAGCAAAAACTCCTTAAGGTGGAGGCAAATGTTGACTTTATGATCGATCGACTATTAACACGGTAAGGAGGAACTACTCGAAAAGTCATATAGATCGTTTACGTGCGTCTTTTAACATTACAGATGGCTTTCAAACAGAAGCATTCCCTCTGTTGCAGTATACATGTTCATGTTATATCATCTAAAGTTATCAGGGTCTATATGTTTGGTGGTGTAATTTGAAAATGTGTGGACACTATTTGCAGCTCCATGTGACCAAAGACACATTGGAAGTAGCCCGTGAGTTTACCCCAACAGCAGCAAGCATTAAGATGAGGCTACTTCCCCTCTTCTGAAAGTTTATGTTGTTATGGTGGTTCAAAAATAAACTTAAACAAGTCACTTACAGAGTGGGTGCTGTTCTGCAGGGTTGACTCTACTCCATGCAGGGCTGTACATGTCTGTTCATTCAGTCCAGCGCTGCGTTTCGAGAGCTCCAACTTCTCTAAACTATGTCGCTCTTCATCACTGCCAAACTCCCTCTGTAGCCTCCTCAAACCTGATAAGTTGTCTCCCTCTGTGCCCAGAGCAGACCAAAACAGTCCGAGCGCCAAAACGCCAGACACGGAGATCATGTTTACAAGAAGACTGCCCAACTTTGGACTCGCAAGAAGCTTTTCTGTCCCAACAGTTGGCTCCACATGCCCCCCTCATCACCAAATGCATGTTCAATAACGGCCCATGCACCGGGGCAGGTGATTGGTCAGTAGCAGAATAAGCTTCACGCTGATTGGACGGCGGGAATCTTCCTCAACTGAGATGTCAGGGGTCTGATGGTGTGACGCTGCCCCCTGGTGGAAAGACTGCGCGGTGACCAGGAAAAGTTGTAATCTTTTTAATTGGAGAATGTATTCCTTGAATTTGAATTCCAAGAAACATAAGAAAAGCAGAACAACAAGTCTGGATTATAGGGTTCCCACTTCAAAATGTGATTAGTTTCCCTTAGGAATATCTAAAGTATTTATGACTATGATCATTTTAGCAATTACTTGAATAGTTCCAAAACATGAAGTACTGTAATTAAGGCACACATATAACTATTACAATTGTCCACAATAGGATCCTAAATAGTTAAGTAATTCATTACTTCAACTTCAAACTAGCTTTTATTGTATCCGTTAGTGGGTTTCATTTATTTTAGAATAATAAATTAATGTAAACATTTTCAGAGGATAAGTACATGACCGTCCAAAAAGGAAAATGAAGGAGCTAGTGAAAGATACTAAAATTAAAGAAAAAATTACTTCATCTATATAGACATATATTATATACACACATTTTCTTTTTAACGGAGGCCATTTTTCACTTTCTTAATATCGTGATGGGACACCACGGGACATGGGAGAGCGATATGGGTAATTTACACTTATGTGAGCTCCTTAAACCCCTACAATATTTTTTTTCTGAAAATAACTGATTTAAAAAGCTTTTTTGTTAGTAAACAAACTTCCGGAACTCACTGTTGCAACCAAATACCTGTTTATGTTAACTGTAATGTGATGTTTTACAAAGAACAATACTTAGTCGAGAGGAACCATGACATAAAAACTAGAACACAAAAAGAGTCAGACAACTTTCTGAATACAACAGTTTTATTGTACTGATTCGTAACAAAAAAATACCCGCCCCCCCCCCACCCCACCATAACTGTTTCCCTGCCGCTCCGTTGTAAGCGCTGGTCAGACTGCTGTACAGAGTTGTTCAGATACTGAGAGACAAGTTAATTAGCACGTTACAAAGAGAAACTTCTTAAGCAATCCAACAATAATCTGAATGCAGTAAGGAGAATGTGCTGATGGAAAGTTGTGGTTGTGTTGTGACATTCAGCCCAGGTGTTCCTCTCCTGCCCAGATCTCCAACCAGGACTTTCAAATGTTTCTGCTCTAGATATCCTTGATAACATCTTCCAGCTCCTCTTTGGAAAACATGTGGAAGGTCTTCCCGGGCTCTACTATTGCGAGCTACAGGAGACACAGAAGAAAAAAAACTGCATTTAAAACTCAGGATTAACACACTCACTGTCCTCTACGAACTTAGCACTGCTCAGCATTTCATTTTTCAAACAAAACAATTATTGAAAAGTGCATTGGTAATGTGGTTTCAACTACACATTTTTAAACCCAACTTTTAAGCACCATGTCAAATTAAAATCAATTGTTAAGAACTTAGAGAGAAATTAAGAACTGACCTCAATGTTGGTGGCGTTGAGCTTCTCCTCCATCACCTGCTTCAGAATAGTGAGGGATGACTTGATGGCGTCTTTCAATGTCATGGACTGTCAGTTGGCCAGGGAGAGAGGGACAAACAGAAAAGATACAACCCATCAATAATTTAATTAATTTCCTTTTAAACAACTGGTGCCTGTATGAAATTCAGAAAAGTTCTATATTTCAATACAAAAAATGTTAGGCAAGTTACTAAGTCACCCAGAAGAAAGAAGAAAATCAAAATAATGTTTATGCTGTCTCAACATAAACAAGCATTGGTCAGCACCTTGTGGTAGATCTCTTGCAGAGAGCTCTGTGCTCCTTCAGACGCTGAGCCGATGGCCCGAGCATCGCACTGCACAAAGGTTCCTGATGGGTCCATGTGGTACCTTCATTCATAAACAAATAACAGTTAAGAATCTGTGAAGTAACAGCTAAAAGTGACCATGTTTCTGCTGAGTCTAAAGCTAAATGCACAAATAGTAATGTATACGTACAGCTGGGGTCCTTTCTCATCAAATCCTCCGAACAGAAGGGCTACGCCGAATGGTCGACTCTGTAGATGATGGCATAGAGATACAGAGCAGAGAGAGAACAACACGTTACGCTAGTTTACTAGAATACCACCAAACATTAAGCCGTAGAAAAAAACATAATTGGATTAAAGTTTGAGTAGATGAGAATTTTCACACACAAAAAATTGCGCAATAGGTTAACTCTTGTTACTTTAAGTTTATGACCACTATTTATTATGCCTGCAAAGTTTTAAATACAACATATTGTTTAAACAGTTTGCCTCCATGATTTGTTAATGTGTGACTGACCATGGCACCGGGATCAGCGTCCTCCTCTCCGAACTGCAGCGCCAGGTTGGACACAGCCTGAGTCACACTCTCCACTGTCATTGTCTCATTGTAAGTGAACCAGTGGTTCTGTGGAAGAAGATATACACAGAGATTATTTCATAGTTAAAAACACAAAGTCAGTAAACTGCTTATAGTTCAGTGTTCGTGGCCGTCATACCTGTGTTTCCACTCTTGCTTTGTCAATAAGAGTCTTGGCATCAGCTATCAAGCCACTCATGGCACAACCTTTTAGGAAGAAAGAAAGAAAATGAATGAACTGCCAGTCCTGTTTATCTTTAAGCAACAATCAATATGATCAAACCCGGAGAAATGTAACATTATTCACTGTTTTCTAAGGGAATAACATTATGCAAAGTAAAAGATGTGTCACCTGAACATAAGGCAATAATCAAACAAAAGATGCACATTGTATTTAAAGCATCAATATTTTTGAAATGTTTGCATTGTTTAGATCTCACAAACATATTCGTAAAACATGTATGTTTTAATACAAAGTGCAAATCTGTGGTTTGACTTAGTCCATTTAAAATGTGCCCCAACTTTTCAGAAATCCTTCCTCTTTATGTAACATGCATTTGAAATGTATTAAACACACTATAACATTTCAGTATAATTGAAAGTAGAGAGATTGTTAGCCCAACATTGCTGTTTATCCAGTGCATGACATTAAGGATTTTGGGAGATGGCCCTGTGGGCCATCTAAGCTAATTTACAGATGGCCCTGAGCCCAATAGAGATTGCCCTGAAAAATGCACGCGGACGAAATGACGCACGAAGGGTTTGGGGGGCCTCCCCCTAGAACATTTAGATTTTTGCAGGTCTTAGATGCTGTCTGGTGCATTCTATAGACTGAATTATAAGATGAACCACCACAATATTACAATTTCAATTGTATTCTTCATTTCACTTGTTTGTGTTTGCTCGCTTGCATGCCCTGCATAGCTTTAATAAATACTTAAGTTGTTGGTCAAGACACTTTCCATCAGATGAAGGCAAATGCCTTCCCAGATGTAAACAAGTAGAAAACATTACATGCAGTTATAACTGCCAAAACAAACATTATTTACGCTATTATGGCCCCTGTTAAAAATGTTTGTAATGTTATCTACTGTAAGTTGGTCGAAGGAATGCCTCCTCATCCAGAAGCTGACCGAGCAGACCCGAGCAGCCGAGTGCATCCGCGAACCACACACAATGGCGACGTCAGAGTTCCCGTTAGCAAGCAAATCTAAATCTCTTTGGTCAAAATGTCAGGTCAAAATAATTTCCCTTTAGCGCAATACCGCTTCAGTTGCGCCACTTATGTGACAGACAAGAAGAGTATGTGACAGACAAGAGTAGTCAATTCTAATGTGTAACACTTAATGTGGAGAAAGTGATGTGCTGTATGGGTTGATTGTGCGTTGATCTGTTGCTAATGCCTCGGTGTTCCGGTGGGCATGTAAACAAATGCATAATGCTGCGCTATACTTTGTGGCCTCACCCAGTTGCATAGCGACACTTATTGTTTAGGTCACGGTGTCTTTTAATAAGCAGGTAGTCATATCATTAGTATAAACTAGCTGGATCTGATCGATATGGACATAAACGCGAGTGAAGTCTAATCTGACGGGAGAGAGAGATCAGCTGCTGCTGACGAGTCGACACGCAGCTCTGCATGATCACATGCAGCGGTGAGCGGACAAAACACACACTTCAGGTTAGAATATCACACGTAGCTATTTTAATTACCTCTCAAACTACATAAACTAGTAATAGATATGTTTAGTTTTACTGTCGGGTCACTCATTACTGGATCCGCGAGCTGCATGATACTGGTATAATAGATTGCCCGATCGGGCAACCAGCAGGTGAAGCTTCATGGCCCGAGCTAAATACTAGATGGCCCCGGGCCATCCTTAATGTCAAGCCCTGTTGTCTAATTCATGATTATAGTGAAGAGCAAATGACAGTCTGACGTTAACATGCAGTTCACTCAGCATTCAGGTCTGAGGTTTAGCAAATATGTGTCTGACTGTCTTACCGATGTGAGTATCAATCTCCACAATCTTTTCAATGCTGTTGGGCTCCATCAGCGGAGAGGTGATCCTCTTCTCCACAGCCAGACACACCCCCTCTGATGTCTGGATACCAATGGCTGTAGAGCCCAACTGGGAAAGCAAGGCAGACCAGACACTTAGGATTGTTGGATGTGAAATTTGTTTTCAAGTTAAGCACCAATATCACACAGAAAAAGTATATAAGCCACCTAAAGTGAGTCAGCATGCAATACTCACCTTTATGGCTTCTATGGCATATTCAACCTGGAACAATCTTCCTTCAGGAGAGAATGTGTTCACACCTCTGTAAGACAGATATAAATTAACATTTGTAATATTGTTATAATTAGTATTATTAGTAATAATGGTTATCAGTTCGACATTGGTAGAAACCAACTTGCGCTGCCAACAAAGACACATACCGTTATTTAGCATTATGTTGTGGTTAGTGTTTAGAGGCTCCATTGCTGAAAATTAAGCGTTAAAGTTGCCCATCTTGACTATAATACTGTTTAACACAGCCTTTGAATCTTAATTGGGATTTACTGGTTGAATAAAATGTTTTTAAAAAAAAAAGAAATGCTATTCCGAAAGTGAAAGAGAACTTGTTGCGAAGTGACTTGCTAGCTGCTAAGGTTAGCTCACTACCTGCAACAAACAGCTACCTCGTTCAAACAAGTGGATGAAAAATAAGCATGTCCAGATTTCCTGGTGCACTACACATCAACAATTGCCTGTCAAAACATCTCTTAGCAGAATGATGCTCTCATAAGTTTCCTTGTTCACACATAAGCGCTTAATTAATGACAAAGCAGTTTGTGTTGCACCTACCTGTCATACTCCGATCTTGTCAAAAACATGGTTCAATGTTTAGCACAGGACCTGCAAAAAGAGAAGAGGGTACTATGTGAGAGTCCAGCAATATAAAAAGTAATGATAAAAGGTCAGGACAATTCCTTGCTCCGAGTTTGCCGTGACACCGGGTGATAGCTAGCCTAAAGTTAGCTACGATACCGAGCAAGCATGCTAGCTAACTGACGCAGCTAATCACTCAAACTGCGCAGAAACTGCTTATTTAAGTCTAACCTCGATTTGCGGAGATTATAATAACATTTAAAAGAACATATATTGACAATTTAGCGACATCCTTTTAAATAAGTGCACTTGTTAGACTAATTTACCTCCAGTAACAAACCCTTGAATGAGTTCGCTTGTTTCAGGGGAAGCGTCTGAGGTGTAACATCCAAACGCGCCGGATGTCAACAAATCTGAAACGAAAGTTCCGCGTGTGCAGCGCTGTCTCTGAATATCCTTGGTAATCACAACATGAGGTTAAATATCTGCTTTTCAGCAAGAACTCGAGGGTATATTGTCTGATATACAATAAATTGATACCGATATTAAATAAAACATGTGATCCATTTACATTTTACAAAATAGGGCACGTTATAAAAACCTCACCACTGCCCTTAATATAAACTGAGATTTAAAAAGTATGGTCTTGTTTTTTCTCTTGAAATGAATCTAGAGCAGAATTAAATAATCAACAGAAAATCTGAATAAACGCTTACCTCGATTGATACAAGCCATATCATGATATTATTGGTTGTTGTCGTTATAGTGGGTAATTATTTTATCTACACGGCCTTCTAATAAGGCACCAGTCCCATATGGTCTAGCGGTTAGGATTCCTGGTTTTCACCCAGGCGGCCCGGGTTCGACTCCCGGTATGGGAACTACCATTTTAAGGTAAGAACAACTCGAACATTGATTGAAGTCAACTCTTCATCGCAAGACGGTCAATTATAATGTAGATTCAGTAAGTAGTCATTCTGCTGTTTCCACTGCCCACATTCCTTATCTAATTGATGCAGAAATATATGGAGGACGGAACATGGCAGAAGTATAAATAAATAATAATAAATGCACAAACAAATGTAAAAAATAAACACGGAAATAAATAAATACAGGAATACATTAATATACTAATACATAAATGTAGAAATACATGTGGAAATGAATACAGTTCTGTCCTCAATAGTAATACACCTTGCAATATTGTTACAAGGACACCCTTCGATGATATACAGTACCTGTGTAGTCATATCATAACATCAGCCACTAAGGGTCATCTTTGAGCTGAACAAGGCAGTGAAAACTCTATTGTGGATTAAGTGGGACATTGAGCTACTTAACTAGAGAAACAGGCTTACTATTGCGATATACACTGAATGTGATATGAAGGACTACAAAAGGGCCTATTAGTTTATTTGCGGTCAGGATTGATTTACTGATGACGATTTGTCCAGCACTATTATTATTATTGGTGAAATACTTATTTTGTTTATATACTTTAATAACCCAGTATATATGAATAATAACAAATTATTATCATTATAATAATACAAAATAATAATAATTATTATTATTATTACAATAATAATAATTATAATATGTATAATTATACTTGGAAAATACAGAGAACTGACATTTACAATAACTAAGTATTTTCTGGCATTATTTGAAGTTCTTGATCATAAATCTAGACTACATGTTTGAGTTACTTTTGTAAATTAAATTCTCTGAGGCAAGGGGATGTACATGCAGGCCGGTGTCGGGTTTCATTTCCCGGGTGGGATCAGTTGAGTTTGGTCTTGTTTAGGTTCTGTGTGGAAGTCTTAACGCGGTGCTGTCTGGTTCTTGTTCAAACACTGAAATCTGGTCAAGCGCTGCTGCTGCTGCTGCGGATGGATACAGGTTGCGTGTTTTATTACCCTAAAGCTCGCCTGCCAGGTGCACATCCTTAACATTTCTCTACACCATTACAGCAGTCAACATGAAGCCCGAGAGGGAGGACATCATTTTTCAGGCTCTCCTCTTGATCCACAGTAAGTAAACTAGAGTTTGGAGAGTGTAGCATTGTTTTACATATGTCCCAGTTGTGTGCATCCAAGAGTATGCATTCTGAACTTGTCATTATTGTTTTTAAATGGTTGCCAGTACTTGAATGGATTACATTTAAAGTGTTTGTTTTTTTCCCCATATTTTCTTCCAAGCTGCATATTTAAAGACTTTGAAATCACCAAGCTTATTTTAAGTGTTAGAAAACACATCATTGGCTGACCTTTAGAAACAGAATATTTTGAGTATTTTGAGATGAATATTAAAGCCAGCCCTGATCTGATGATTTCCTTCTGTCCACCTCCTGCTTCAAGCACATTCCTGTCAGATGAGTTTTACTGACTCGGGGTCCAAAAACACTTTTAGTCTACTGCACATTATAATCATAAGCTTCAAGAGTGCTTTGAACTATTGTTTTCAATAAGGTATATTTCGTTTTTTTTAAGCCTCAGTAGATTGGCATTTGATCTCATGTGCAGACCCTGAATGATTTCATTAATTGAACCAACTTGAGTTGAGTCTGGCAGTGTTTAAGTAATTTGTACGTTCACTACCTCTGTTTCTATTTCAGTCCCTGTTGCCTGCCTCTTCACTGCAGGTATGTTTTTCTGTGTGTGCAGTTGAGATTCATATAATGCATTTGTATTCAGGGGCTTAGTGTGTAAACACCCCCCCTCCTCTCTAGTGTCAGGTCAGTCTGGCAGCAGCAGCAGTGTGGTGGTGGCAGGGTACAATGTGAGCGCCCCCGCTGGGTCCAAAGTGCTGCTACAGTGTGTGAGCGGCCGCATGATGTGGACCAGAGACCAGCTGAAGGACAGGCAGAGGGTGGTGCACTGGGACATGTACCGGGCCCGGCCAGACTACGCCATGGAGAGGGTGCTGGACATGTACTCTGCGGGGGAACAGAGGATCTACAACTCCTACAACCAGGGCCGGGTGGGCCTCAGCCACAGAGCCTTCAGGGATGGGAACTTCTCCCTGGTCATCAAAGGTCACTCTCTTTCACTCTCATGTCTATAGCTGCTGGAGAATTGGTCTCATCATGTGACGGTCATTATTACTTTGTCGGTCTGATTCATTTCAGCTCAACTTCCATGTCACAAGTAATTTACAGTATGTCACGCATTTTCACAGCTGCTCTCTTAAGTGGACTAAATACACCCAGATTTAGGGTCAATGTACACTTACCCTCAAGTCTGCCATCAATTTTGGTTCAAACCAGTAGGGAAAAAGTGAAATGCTAGAAAATAATTATTTAGACATGTTATTCATATTCGATCATAAAATCGTCTTAATTTATGTATTTGTTTGTTAAAGTTACATTTCCCAATAGAGAAATAAGTCAGTTAAGTTTTCGGCAGAAGTTGTTAATCAGATCCTGATGCATCCCGTCTTAGTTTGAAATCTTGTCTTATATAACACTCATTTTACAAAAACAATTGTTTATTTCTGTGTGGTTAGCAGAGGTGGTCTTTGTGTCATAAAACATGACGCAGAAACCTGCTGTTTTTGAAAATTGCACTACAAAACTGAGTTGCTTCCAAACAGAAATAGTTTAGTGATTATTTTCTTAACATCTGTGCTTGCTTCTTGTACCTCTGCCATCTATTTTCAAGCAGCTGAAAGAGAAATTGGATGCAATGCAAAGCATTCAAGATTCATGAACTCATGAACTACAGAATGGCGTTTTCTAGTATTTTACAGTAAGTAAATACATAACAAATAATTCTGTGTTTTTGCATCCATAGACGTGACGATGAATGACAGAGGTCTGTACTCCTGCAACCTCCATCATCTCTACTGCCACCTGTACGAGACCATCATGGTGCAGCTTAACGTCACCAAATCACGTGAGTATCACGCAGCACTTCAATCTTCAATGCTGCAGAGTCAAAGCTGACTCAGTTAGTCTTTTGTTGCACATAAAGGTCGTAAAGAGCAGCGTTTCTGGGATGGACACAAGGCGGTGTATGTGGTGCTGCTCGGCAATACCGTGGTGCTGCCGTGCATCAACCGCCGCAATGTGTGGACAGACTGGAGCGATGAGGAGGAGGACCAGCAGGTGAGTGAAGTGCATGAGTTTGTTTGTATCAGTCTCAGTCTAGATTTACTCTTAATATAAAGGGATCATGTGGTATTTCGTAAAATACGTAACCTCTCTTACCTCTGTGGCCTCCAGGTGGTCCACTGGGACCGTCAGTCCCCAGGGGTCCGCCACGACCGGGCCGACCGCCTGGTGGATCTGTACGCCTCTGGAGAGCAGCGCAACTACGGACCTCTATTCCTCCAGAGGAAGATGAACATCAGCAGTCAGGCATTCTCAGAGGGAGACTTTTCCCTTTCCATAACTAATCTGCGGGTGTGTACAAGGAGAGTTTTTAACAGTAAACACAGGAGCCCTTTAGTTTCAGTACATACAGTAAAGAAATATCATATGGCAAGAGGTACACTTCCCACTGGAGTAGTGTTACTGTGTGTGTGTGTGTGTGTGTGTGTGTGTGTGTGTGTGTGTGTGTGTGTGTGTGTGTGTGTGTGTGTGTGTGTGTGTGTGTGTGTGTGTGTGTGTGTGTATGTAAACAGTGTTTCACAACACATGGAACCTCCATTAGTAATTCAGCTCTTAACAACTCTGTTGGGAAAATGAGGTTAGCAGTAACAGTACGTTGAGCAACTGCATACATTCTTTAAGACAATAACAATAGCAACATAGAGAACAATTCAAGATATAGCCAAAAGTACCTCCCAACAGTCCACTTTGAGTCGTTTGTAATTATAGCAAACAAAGAAAAGTTGACAGTCACGTCTTTGGATTGTCACGGTCCTGGTGTTTTCTGATATTGCTCATAAATCAGAACATGTGCTCGGTGTGGCCCACACTGTGGACGAGACCAGCTTCAGGCAACACTCAGCTGACTGTCACACCACGTCTGTTGTTGTTTCATGTTTGAAGACAAAAAGTATGTATAATTAGCTCTTATGTAACACTAACCCTTTTACCCTGGCAAGACTGCAATAGATCATTTCTTAGTCTTTATGCATACAATTAAATAGTGATTGCTTAACTCAATGATGAGCACATTTGTAAAGCATGTTTGTCACAACACAGGCTTGTTTTACTCCATTGCCCTTTAGATGCTGGCAATGTGAAGAACTTTTCCAGGATGCTGTGTGTGAAAAGATGCATGAAAACGTTCACGTACATGAATTATTTTTCAGATTTAAATATTATTATTATTATATATAATCAGATTTGATAGAATAATTCTGATTGTGTGCACATCCAAAACAATCTATTCTGGTGTTGTTGTTGATAACATTTGGATCACATTTGATTTTATATGAAGGCACATTCAGTATAATATGTGTGTATGTGTTTTTGT